TAGGCTGTATTCATACTCTTTTCACAGATTCTGCTAGCTCCTGCAGGGACACATTTCTGCGTCATGCATTTCTGCGTCATGCAGTTTACGCCAGGACAGCACACAAGGTTTCCTCACTCTCTCACTGCATCCTCTCTAGGTCCCTTCCCTGTCCATTTTGCCTTTTGCTTGTTTATTTTTGAGTAACAGTGATTACAATGAAAGTAGAATTTAGTTGTTTATTCAGAATATTGATGTGGTTTTCTTCTTTAGGAAAAATAATTCCAGCAACCTCATCCCATTTCCTATATCTTAATTGCAAATACAGGATCCTCTTTTCCACAGGAGAAAGTGTTATTTTAACTCAGAGTTCAGAATTCATATTTACCTCATGAAATTTGTATAAACTCAACTTAATCTCAGCAATGTTTGCTTTACTGTGAACTTTACATAATGAGTATTAAATTTGGACTTGGTTTGAATACCAAACTGCTTAGCTTTTTCCCATAAATTTTTAAAGTGATTTCCTATCATAGCCTTAAAGATGTCTTTAAGCTGGTGGAAACTGTGAGTATAGAAAAAATTATTCATGTAAGCATTGAATTAAAAGGTATTAATGAGCGTATTAGTTCAACTCTTGTGTCAGGTGACTATAATAATGCAATGATGTGTCACCAAAGTACTGGAGAACTGGAGAGGAGGATACATTGTGAATGAATGACTATCAGTCGTTTTCTGGTTTCTTGGGTTTGGATTTTTGTTTGGGTTTTCTGTGGTTTTTTTGAGGTGTGCGTTGTGGTTTTTTGGGGTTTTTTTTTTCTCTTTTTTCTCTTTTTTTTTTTCTTTTAACAAGGATCAGACAGTTTTAATCCATTCCCACACACTGGAAAGTTGCCTTGTGCCATTAACAGTGCAGAGCTATACACTTCACTGAATTACTTTGGGTCAGTTTTGTATAAATCTGTAGCTTTATGTCACTTTCTGCCTAGTATAAAATAAAACTGAAACACAGATCAGGCAGAAGACATTGAATTAAAGTTCATTTTAAGCAAGCAGACAAGCAACAACACTGGAACAGGTTGCCCAAGGAGGTGGTAGATGCCCCATCCCTGGAAACCCCATCCCTGGAAACCCCATCCCTGGAAACATTCAAAGTCGGGTTGGACAGGGCTCTAACCAACCTGATCTAGTTGAAGGTATCCCTGGTCATTGTGGGGAGGTGTTGGTCTAGATGTCCTTCCAACACAAACTGTTCTACAATTCTACAACTTTAACAAATGTATAAATATGCTGTTCATATTTAGTATTTTTAATGGTCAGATTAAATTTTCTTTATATTTTCTTTAACAACAAACTGTATTATTAGGCACATTTCTAAACAGCAAAAAAACATTGAAGTGAAGCTAAGAAATGGCCTGTGTTTGTAACAGTGAAGAATAAAAAATCTTCACATATTGAGTAAAATCAGATAAAAAAATTTTTGAGAATGTCTTCTTGTTGTCATACTTCAGTTAATGGAATGAACATTAGTATAAAAATAATTATAAGAAAATAATCTATGTTAACTGACTGTTTTTTCTCTGTGGTCATGGTGCTATGCATAGGCAGGAACAACCACAAAATATAAATGAAAGGAGAAGACTAAGCTGTAATCTTGACTGGTTTTGAAATTGCTCTAGTTCAGTTATTCCACAGTTTGCTATCTGCTGCTTTCTGCTTCTCCAAAACTCCCACAGCATCCTAGATCTTTCTCGCCAGATTTCTTTCCTCTGGCTCTGTTGAAGACAGTGTCAAAACTGCATATGAAATTCTTTGCACCATGTGTTTAAGTTTCATTCTCCTGCAACCCTCTTTTCCCTTTATCCTGTGCTTAAATTGGTCCCCAGGAATCCTCATGTAAAGAAAGCATCCATATACCTGCTTACATGAGACTGTCATGCTACTCTGACTTTGCTACATGCAATTCTTTCTAAATTTCTTCTTTTATTAGGTGTTAGACAGTTCCGGGGTTTTCAGATGGAGGAGACAATGTCCCTATTATTGCTTGGAATACAAAAAAAAAGTACTATAATTGAATTTACTAGAAAATTGCACATTTCTGCATCAACCTAAGGTTTGTACTGTGACAATTAGGATGTCAAATAGCAGAAATGTAATCTTTATTTTTCTTTTTCTTCTTTTTTTACTGAAAAACTCCAGTGTTTTCTATTAATTTCTTATTTGTTGGAACTGTTTTATTTTCATTCCCTTCTGTTACGATAAAAAAAAATTTCCAAAGAAATCATTGTAAAAAAAAAAATGAGGTTTGTGTCAGTATTGAGAAGCATTCAGTAGAACAGTTCCGATTTTTGGTGGTGACAAAAACTATGACAGGTATCTGTTAGATATTGATGACTTATCAGAAATCATATATTCATAGAAAGATTTGGGTTGTAAGGGACCTTAAAGATCATCTAGTTTCAACCCCATGCTCTATCTCTGGCAGTATTCAAGGCCAGGTTGGAGAGAGCCTTGGGCAATATGGTATAGGGTGAGGCGTTCCTGCCCATGTCAGTGGGCTTGGAATTTGATGATCTTAAGGTCCTTTCCCACCCTAACCATTCTTTGATTAATGTTCCACACTTGTTAAATAATAAGTGAAAGCAAGGTGATATGAGAAACTATATTTAGCTGTTATTACTGTTAAGAAATGTTGGGAGCAAGTTTGCTTAAGTATCCAACTTATGTCAGTTAAAATTCCTTAGTGGTTTAAGTCAGTAGCTAGGTTCCTTTTTGGTGGCAGTGAGTCTTACAGGCTGTTTCACAGGTGTAAAATCCAAGAGCTTGAAAAGAGAGTGACTGGTTAGGTATTTGATGCCATGTATGTAGCAGAGGGAGTCTAGATGAGTACTCTGGTCATTTCCAAACTGCATTAATATATCTTGGTGCATATGTTAAGTGTATCTTAGCATCAATGCAAAGAAAATACAGTTCTGCTGTAATGTATTACTGTCTTTAGAAACTGGAGAACCAAAACTCAAGGCCTGTGCATACCGTACTTTGACAATGTAGTCTGGACAAAGCTTTAGATTAGTGAGGCATGATGTCTGTGACAGCTATTTCTTATGATAGTGAAGTGGTTTTTTCCTAGACGTTTTCTAGGCCAAGTTTTCTGTATGATATTTCTCAGTTCAGTGAATGACAGTTACTTCAACAAGGGACAAAAAAGTTCAAATTTTCTTCTCCTGTTCTTCCAGTCCTTTGAACCTTCTTCTGACTGTTTTTGTTGAAACAGAGGAATTTCCTTTTGCAGTCACTAAACTGGATTATATTTCAAGATTTCACTTCGAAGCATTCAGATTATGAACTTTGTCATTTTGCTTCACCTATAGAAGCATCATTTTTTTTGTTCTTCCCTTGCAGAGCAAAAAGCGCTTTGCTAGAATAAATACTTGTGTTTCTAGTGGTATAGGATGCCATCCTTTATTTTAAGCATTTAACTTTGAGGTATTTTTCTCAAAGTATATGAACTTCTGTACAGTAGGGTATTACTCATTTAATTCTAGAACATCACATAATAGTCACATCATGGATGCAACAAAAAATGTCATTAATTTTTGTTTCAGCTGCCTTTATATTTTGAATTAATTTATTTCAGTCTAAGAGGACACTTAATCACACTCGTTCACACACAGAATTTTACTTATTAAGCAGCACTTTTTTTTCTGTAGAGACACATTTTCATGAAGAAGATGGTAATTTTTGTATAGATCAACTCAGATGCGGCCTTTATAAGGATTTGAAGCACAAATTCTGGTGATACATATGTAAAATACTAGAAGCAGTTATTAATATAACAAGCCCCAAATGAAAAATATTGTGTTGGGTTTTATCCTAAATAAAATTTATAAATTTTAATGAAGGTTTCCTTTGTTTCACTAGCTATTTCTTTAATAAATTGAAAATAGATGTATCTACTTCTACTGCAAAAAAGTAATGCTTAGAAATAATTAATAATGGCAGCAATACTACATCTCTCATTCCTCCTTGTAATAATCCAAACCTCTTAAAAGATTATGTCTTAGTATGCAGGTTTTCCAACTAAGATGTATTACTGATCCACTCAGAAACATTTTGCTAAATTCAGGTTTTAGTTATAATTTACACTTCTGTTGTTATGATCCTAATTATTCTTGTATATGATGCTATTTGCACATAATCTATATAAAGTTTTCAGTGTTACAAAAAAAAGGTAATCTGTGATAAACACCGCAATATGTTCCGTGTTTCTGTTATCTTGGTCTCTGTATCTGGAGATGATATAAACTATCATCAAAAGAAATATGGAACTGGGTAATAGATATTCTGCTCATATTTAAAGGAAATATGTTAGAATACTCAGACTTCACTGTAATTCCTGGCAATTTGTTGGCTAACATTAAAGCTGTTCTCATCAGTCCCCATGCAAGCACTGCAGGGACGTGTTGGAGAGTCTATAATTTTGGTCCCTTTTTTTCCCGAAGCATATTTTCATATCATGCTTTTAAATGTATGTTCAGGTCATTAGGCTGTTTCAGAGTTTCATCATTTTCATTAGTCTAATATAAATGTCTATCTATAAATGGATGATAGCTCCCGTAGACTCAGATAATACTACCAAATGAGGCAAAGCACATAGAAAATCTACTTTTAAAGTCTAAGTCTATACATATATCCCTCAGACACTGAGTGAATTATTCATGTACATGCTGTAGCCCTCATATATAAGTTTGCACTAGCAAATTCTTAGGTTTATTTGAATTTAAATACATTAGTGCTAAAGGGGTAAAAAAGGAGAGGAAGTAGGTAGGACAGGAAATAAAAAATAAAATACATCATGTGCCAAAAAAAGTGCATTCCCTACTTGAGAAAGTACTTTTCACTCAACAGACAGCTCTCATGTGAATAAATATTGCTGTGCTAAGAGTTTCTTCCATCTTTTACATCCAAATAGGGATGAAAATAATTATATAATTGTTGTTGCTTTTGTTGTTTTTCCTCAGGGATTTGTATCAGTGACATGTTTCTACCCACTAAGAGTGAGCATTGCAAGATGATCTGGTCATTCGTGAACCACTTGGCTTTATGCTGTAAACAAAAATTTAACCGTTGAATCACAAAAACTGCCTGCATCATAAAACTAGTGTCTTCTACTGATATTTTTGTGAATGTATATATGCTTGACTTCACAGTCTTATCACCTCAGAAAAAACAAACAGGCTATTTATCTGTGGTTTTGAGTTTAGTGAGCCTGTAACTCATATGTCCTAGTGGATAAATTGCACGTGGGTCATCTGTGCATCCTTGCACCAAAGAAAGCAATATACATCTTGGTCTACACTAGTGATAGTGTCACCAGCAGGATGAGGGTCATACTTCCCTTCTGTTTAGTATATCTGAAGTGTTATGTCCAGTTTTGTGCCTCCCAGTAACAAGAATTTTTTACAAGCTGGATCAAGTCAAATGGAGGCCATCAGGACAGTCAGGTTTGGAGCACATTCTACAATGAGAAACTGAGGGATCAGCCTTCAACCTTGCCTTCAGAAGCTTTGTTACCATCTACAACTACCTTGTCAGAGGACACAGAGAAGATAGAGCCAGATTTCTGAGAGCTGCACAGCAATAGAACAAAAATTAACAGACACAGGGTGGCATGTGGGAAATTCTACTCAGATAAAGGAAAATGTAAGCAAAAATGAATGTTTGGGCTTTTTTTTGTTTTGTTTTGGTTTGTTGTTTTTTTTTTCCCCTCATAAGCATAGTCAAGCTCTGGAACATGTTGCCCAGAGAGACTGTGAGATCTCTGTCCTTGGAGATGTTTAAGATGTTACTGAACATGGCCCTCAACAGCCTTATCTGACCAGACATGCTCTGAGCAGTGGATTGGACTAATTGATTTCTGAAGTTCCCATCCAACCTATTTTTTTCTAATTCCATGATACACAGTGAAAGTGACAAGTAAGACGTTATTATTTGCATTTCATACTCTGTATAAAATCTTCATTAAAAAGTCTGCACTTTATTTTCTCCAAGTCATATATATATATAATTTGCATCTGTGCTTTAAGAAATTATTGTTAAAGTTTACACACGAGTTTATATTATTTTATAACTCAAACAGTGCAGAAGTCTGCCAAGTTTCATTTTCAACTCATGAAAATTAGGAGCTTTTTCCCCTCACTTTAGGTCAGTCAGTCTTACCGCTATAACCTCTGTAGTTTATTTAGTGTAAAATAACCAAGTAGAATTATCTATATACAGTATTACATTCAGTTTGACTGTGGCAGTTAAGCCTTCCGCATCTTGTTGGGGGATCTGTTACTTGCACTGATATATTGATTCCCATGTCTGTGGCTTTTCCTGTGTCTAGTTTAGTACAGCCACTTTTTAAGTGTGATTAAATTTAAATGTCCTACAATTTTACAGTAGTTCATAGGAGAACTCTTTGTCATGCTACATTTCATTACATCATTTATGTGATGTGACCTGGTTAAATGAAGCGTGAGGTGATATAAAGTAATGAATCATCAAGCTTAGACAGAAATGTAAAAATAGAAACATTAAAACCTGTAAGAAAAAAAATAGCAGCTAACACTCTTGTTTAAAAAGCTTGGGATAGTGTTTTCTAAAATATTTGTACTATCTGATTCCTAGAATTGATAACATGTGTAAATAGAATGCTATTCTATTGGACAGAAATAACTGTTCTAGTCAAGACTGGTGTTAAAATTATGCAAAATCTGTAACTAAAAATCCATTACTAACGGAACTGTATAAACAGTACAAAGATTTATGGTTCTCTTTGAGATATCAACATTGAAGCTTTCTTTACAAGGTACTTCTTTGTAGAGTAGATTTTTGCTAAGCAGGATCTGATCCCTGAATTTTGACTTTTTTCCCAAGTATTATCTGAGACTGTCGTATGATCTGGGGACTGACAGATAATCTACTGGGTTTATGTTTTAGATTGGGAAATAGGGATAACATAATCTAATTTGTTCTCAGCTGCTTTCAGCTGTGATTTGTTCCAGATTTTTTTCATGTAGTAAAGTAACTGGTCATGTTTATCTGTGCAGATAATATGAGCTTTATTTCTGCAATATCAGAACAGCTCTCATCAATCACTTCTTCACATTCTGCTATTCCCTGTTATAAGTATTAAGAAAATCCTGTGGCAAAATTATGGGCTCATTCATTTGAAATGAGCCCTTTGATTTTCATAAGGTTGAATAAAAGATTCCAGTGCCAAATGTAGAACATTGAACTTCATGCCTTGGATATAGACATGCATAGACAAACTAGACAATGTATTACTTGTGAATATATAAAAACCGGCTGATAGGTGCTGAAGAGCATTGATGTATATTTATCGAAGATGGAGTTTGCCCAAAGTTCATAATGTAAGCAAAAATCACCAAATTTGTAAGGTCTCTGTTACTACTAGGTGATTTGGTAAAAAAAAAAATATTATTTAAACTGCAGTGTTTTTTATGAAAAATGTCTTATCTAAACTACTTTCTTGATTTTTCACATATAACATCTTTTTAAACAAAATGTATAAATACATGTATTAGTCATATTTAAAAGACTGTAGTCATATTTACCTCTTTGGAGGGACTTTGACAACATCTGTAAAGTGAAAATCAGGACTCAGAGAGGGGATCCACATCATTTAATGCAAAAATGTACTTGCCTTTGGGAGGCAGCTTTTTTCAACAGTTGCATATTTCTTAAATTTTAGTATGAATTTCATACTTAAGCATAAGAAAATTTTTTTTTTAAGCTGGAATCATAGAATAGTTAAGGTTGGAAAGGACCTTAAGATCATCAAGTTCCAACCACCCTGCCATGGGCAGGGACACCTCACACTAAACCATGTCACTCAAGGCTCTGTCTAACCTGGCCTTGAACACTGCCAGGGATGGAGCATTCACAACTTCCTTGGGCAACCCATTCCAGTGCCTCACCATCCTAACAGGAAAGAACTTCTTCCTTATATCCAATTTAAAATTCCCCTGTTTAAGTTTTAACCTGTTGCCCCTTGTCCTATCACTACAGTCCCTAATGAAGAGACCCTCCCCAGCATCCTTATCAGCCCCCTTCAGATACTGGAAGGCTGCTATGAGGTCTCCACACAGTCTTCTCTTCTCCAGACTGAACAAACCCCACTTTCTCAGCCTGTCTTCATACACGAAGTGCTCCAGCCCCCTTGTTATCCTCGTGGCCCTTCTCTGGACTTGTTCCAACAGTTCCATGTCCTTTTTATGTTGAGGACACCAGAACTGCACACAATACTCCAGGTGAGGTCTCACGAGAGCAGAGTAGAGGGGCAGGATTACCTCCTTCGACCTGCTGATCACGCTATTATTGATGCAGGCCAGGATACAGTCGGCTTTCTGGGCTGCAAGCGCACACTGAAGCCACCTCATGTTCACTTTCTCATTGACCAACACCCCCAAGGCCTTCTCCGCATGGCTGCTCTGAATCTCTTCTCTTCCCAGCCTGTAGCTGTGCTTGAGATTGTTCCGACCCAGGTGTAGGACCTTGCACTTGGCATGGTTAAACTTCATGAGGTTGGCATCAGCCCACCTCACAAGCATGTCAAGGTCCCTCTGGATGGCATTCCTTCCCTCCAGCATATCAACCGAGCCACACAGCTTGGTGTCATCGGTAAACTTGCTGAGGGCACACTCAATCCCACTGTCTGTGTCACCAACAAAAATGTTGAACAAGACCGGTCCCAACATTGATCCCCAAGGGGCACCACTCGTTACTGGTCTCCAGCTGGACATTGAGCCATTGACCATTGATGCAACATCTTGCGTGCGGCCATCCAGCCAGTTCTTTATCCACCAAGTGGTCCATCCATTAAATTCATGTCCCTCCAATTTAGAGACAAGGATGTCATGTGGGACAGTGTCGAATGCTTTACACAGGTCCAGATAGATGTCATCAACTGCTCTTCCCCTGTCCATCAGTTCCTTAGCCCCATCATAGAAGGCCACCAAACTGGTCAGGCAGGATTTCCCCTTAGTGAAGCCATGCTGGCTGTCACCAAGCACCTTGTTGATTTTCATGTGCCTTAGCATGCCATCCAGGAGAATCTGCTCCAAGATTTTGCCTGGCACAGCGGTGAGACTGACTGGTCTGTAATTCCCCAGATCATCCATTGTCCCCTCCTTGAAAATGGGGGTTAGATTTCCCTTTTTCCAGTCATCGGGAGCTTCACCTGACTGCCATGATTTTTCAAATATTATGGCCAGTGGCTTAGCAACTTCATTCACCAGCGCTTTCAGGACCCGCGGATGGATTTCATCAGTTCCCATGGACTTGTGTACATTCAGGTTCTTAAGATGGTCTCAAACCAGATCCTGTCCTACAGTGGGCGCAAGTTCTTCATTCTCACAGTCCCTGTGACTGCCTTCCATGACATGGGTGGTGTGGTCAGAGCCTTTGCCAGTGAAGACTGAGGCAAAGAAGTCATTCAGAACCTCAGACTTCTCCAAATCCAGGATAGACAGTTTTCCTGAGAGCTTCCTGAGGGGGCCCATGTTGTCCCTAGTCTGTCTTTTATTTGCAGTGTACCTATAGAATCCCTTCCTATTATCATTCACATCCCTAGCCACGTTTAATCCTAACTGGGCCTTAGCTTTCCTAACCTGGTCCCTAGCTTCCCGGACAACATCCCTGTACTCTTCCCAGGCTGTCTGTCCTTGCTTCTGCCTTTCATAAGCCTCTTTTTTCCTTTGAATTTTCCTCAGGAGCTCCTTATCCATCCAAGGAGGTCTCCTGGCCCTCCTGCTGCACTTCCTTCTAGTTGGGATGCAACACTCCTGAGCTTGTAGTAGGTGATCCTTGAATATCAAGCCAACAGTCTTGGGCCCCTCTGCCCTCTAGGGCTGTATCCCATGGAACCTTCCAAAGCAGGTTCCTGAAAAGGCCAAAGTCTTCTCTTTTGAAGTCCAGGGCAGTGAGCTTGCTGCATGCTCTTCTCACTGTCCTGAGGATCTCAAATTCGAGCATCTCATGATCACTGCATCCAAGGCTGCCCTGGAGCATCACATTTCCAACGAGCCCTTCCCTGTGGGTGAGCACGGTCAAGCATGGCACCTCTCCTTGTTGGCTCCTCTATTATTTGCAGAAGGAAGCTGTCTTCCACACAATCGAGGAACCTCCTGGATTGCTTGTGCTGGACCTTACCATCCCTCCAATAGATGTCAGGGTGGTTGAAGTCACCCATGAGACAAGGGCCTGTGAGCGTAAGGCTGTTCCTATCTGTCTATAGAGTGCTTCATCCACAGAGTCCTCTTCATCAGGCGATCTGTAACAGATCCCCACAGTAATGTCTCCCATCACTGTTTTCCCTTTAATCCTGACCCACAAGCTCTCTGTTGACTGCTCACCTGTGCCCAGACCAAGTTCCATCATGTCCAGGCTATCCCTAACACAAATAGCAACTCGCCCTCCCTGTCTGACAGGCCTGTCTTTTCTAAAGAGCCTGTAACCTTCCATTCCAACACTCCAGTCATAGGAGCCACCCCACCATATTTCTGTAATGCCTATTATAGCATACCCCCATAAATGTGCACACATCTCTAATTCTTGTTTGATCTGCATGCTACGGGCATTTGTATAGAGGCATCTGAGCTGAGCTCCAAATGAAGCTGGCTCAATTGGCTGGAGCGGCTGGAATACCTCTACATTGCTCCGAGCATTTATTATAGGTGCTGGCAACCGACTGGAAGTTAAACTTGTTTTAAAAATGTAAAAATCTGTCATCTGAGAAGAATTATTTTTGCAGCCCTATTAAGCAAAAGAGGTTTCTTTTAATTTAATAACATTTCAAATTTTTTCTAAGAAGTCATTTAGGGCAATCCTATCAATAGTTTTATATATATAATCTTACTGCATAAAACCATTACCATTTGTCATTCATTGTGAA